GTTGTGTTCTGGGAAAGCGTGTCTCCTTGGTCAGCTTCACTGACTCAACCTTCCAGACTCAGTTCTGCCCTTTCTGTTGCTGACACGGTTCGCTCTCCTCTGCGTTGTGAGTTTCCTAAATCTTCCTGTATTCCAGTCTGTAGTCTCGTCGCTTCAGCCTGGCTTCTCCTTATGTCTTTTTCTTTCCTTTCCACAGAGGCAGAGGCAGGTCTTAAATGTTTTTGAAGACTAACTGCTTTCTGCAACTTTCCCTGGTGCACAGAGTAAGCGTTTCCTGGGCTTCAGGACTCAGTTACTCCTGCCTGTGGCATCGTGTCCGAGGCTCGCGCTGACGCTTCAGACGTCTGGGTTGAGGTTTTGCCGACAGAGAACAGCTGGTCCTTGTCCTTTGCCCGCCTCATGGCCACTTTGATGGTGGGGGATCCCTTCTTAGATCTGCGGGGACAACAGGGTGACCTACAGCATCTTACTGCATTTTCTCCGCCGAGGCCTTAGCAGGTACAGCTCTGTCCGGCTGCACAATTTTTCTTACTTTCATTGACTAGTGACCTGATACAACAAACCGAGAATTGCAAACCCATGAGCAGCAGGCACCGGACAGCCCACTGGCCTTGTTTCTTTGGCCTGCATAACGTCCACTACTTACTCTCTTACTGCCGTACATGGGGGCACAGGTGCTCCGGTTCACCGGGGCGCCCGCCCCTTCCTGTTGCCTCACACCCGGCCCGCTCTTCTTGTCTGCAGTGGCTGCTGGGAGCCTGGGTCTGTGAGCCCCCCACCCGTTCAGAGGGCACGATGCCACGAGGCCACAGTGCACACCGCCACTGGGTCTGCCTACGTTGGGTCCCGCCTTATCCCTTCGATTCTCAGGGTGCTCCCTGCTGACGCAGGGACGGCCCTCTATCCACCGACCCACACATGTGTCCTGGCCCTTGCCGCGGGCCTCCATCGTGCCTGAGGCTATGAGTGCAGCACCGAACAGGACACGGTGGGCACCTGTCTTCTCTGAGGCCAAGTAAAAAAGAGTTATCAATGTTTTGCACAAAGCGGTGGCAGCAGCTTGATAAAGCCATTTCCTTATCTTCATCTCCACGCATTCTGACTCTTCTCCCAGTTATCTAGGGTTTAATCACAATGATCAGTCTTTTTTCCTGTAAGAACGCTGAGATCAGATCTACTGAGCGGGTGCAAAAAAACCTCACTATTTTGCTTTGTAAGTAAAAACCATCTGAGATGCAAGATTATTTGAACTAGAACAATTTTCAACGGCATGGGTGCTTAGGACCACGTTAGCTGGGCATCTCGGCGACTGGTGACGCTGGCGCAAAGCTGCTAGGTTGGTCTCAGTTTTACCATATGTGGCTTCATTTACAAACCACCAGGCTCTCTGGAGGCTTCTTTGCCATCAGGGCACCGGTTGGGGAGCAGGTCTCCCCAGAATTGTGCTTCTTTAAGCCATTCGAAGCATCCTGACTGTACAGATCAGTCCCCACTTCTCTCCGTTGAGTGGCGGAAAATACATGGAGCAACTCCAGGGACATCATGCCGGCTGCTGGGAGCACAGGGCACGGAGGGCTGAGCCACCTTTGTATTTGAGCTGCACCATTGTATCCGGGCTCCAGATGCGAAGAGCCCGGAGGCAAAGGCAAAATGCCTTCCCGGGGACTGCTTGGCTCCCTGCTGGCTGAGAGTCCTGGCAGTCTTTCAGGGCTGTCCATTCACCGCGCTGTCGGACTTCCATTTGCTAGGACTGGCCAAACGCCCCTCAGCAGCGCTTCTCATTGGCTCGTGCGCTGACGGCAGCAGCGAGCTCAGGGCTGTGGAAATGCAAGCCGGGGCGCGGGGGCGGGGGTGGGGGGTGGGGGGCGCTGGGCACCCCAGGAGGGCGCTGAGGGTTCCACGCCAGGGCCCTCGTGCAGGGAGGGTCAGCGCGGAGGCCGGGCTCCGAGAGCACCCGGCCCCTGACACTCTACCCTCTGCTGGCTCTGCCACGCTGGCTTTCATGTTTCAAGATACACTTTCTCACGGAAATGAAAAGTTTGAAGGAAGCAAGTCACGCTTCTGTTTGAGAAATGTGAACACATTAACCTATCGCTGAGCTCAGGGAATGTTCCCGAAGTTTTCGTAGTCACACTCTGGTCAGTCGTCTGGGAAGAAAGAAGAAAGGCTCTCCTTGGCCACTGTGCCAGGCTCCCCTGCGCTGGCCCGGGCAAGCCCAGAGACACGGCAGGGTCTGCACCCCCGTCCTAGACCGGGAGAGCGATAGGTGGCCCCCCTTTTAAAATTCGGGATTGGCGTGGACAGGGAGCCCCGCTGAAAGGTGGTAAGGGGTAACCACCTGCGACATGGCACTTCTGCGTAAGTTCTTATGGAGATGCAGCCCAAATCTACTGAGTTCTCAGAGGACACAGCCTCACACACAAGGTGCTGGTTAGGACTGAGGCATTTTTACCCTCCATTCATTTTTTCTATCTATCTATCTATCTATCTAGATATTTCTAGAGAGAGGGGAAGGGAAGGAGAGAGAGAAACATCAGTGTGTGGTTGCCTCTCCTGCGCCTCCTCCTGGGGGCCTAGCCTGCAACCCAGGCAGGTGCCCTGACTGGGAATTGAACTGATGACACTTTGATTCGCAGGCCGGCGCCCAATCCACTGAGCCCCACCCACCAGGGATGCCCTCCATTCTCTAATCACGGAAAAGCCCAGGAGGCCTGTGAGTTTGTGCCCACATCGCTCCCAGCTGAATCGTTCCTGCTTGAACTTTACAGGTCATCTGTGGGGATTTAATGAGCTGGTTAGAGGGTTCCATCAGATGAGTAGCACAAGGGGACTAGTTAGAAGGCTCCATCGGATGACGAGCGTGAGGCGCCTGGAAGGTTACATTGGATGGCCAGCACTAGGCGACTAGTTAGATCGTTGCAGCAGATGACTAGCACGGGTGACTGGTATCTAACGTGCCTGCCTCCTGTTCTGGGCTCGGAAGCGGGGCTGGAGGGGCACTTGGTGGTCATGAGTGGCGGTGGCTTCCTCGGGTGTTTTCACCTCCCTCTCCCCGCTCCCCTTCGCCGGTTTTCATTTCTTGTGACTGTGTGTGTATGTGCGTGTGTGTTTACTTCTCAACGGTGGCCTGTGACTGGCCAGCTCAACGCCTACGGAGAGCGTCGCCGATGACAGGTGCTGGATCCCCGGCCCTGACCCGGTCTCCAGGCTGGGGCCTTGCCCCGGCCCCAGACCCGTCGCACATTCCCGTGTGTTTGGTCACAGGGCAACGAGCTGGGAAGCGCGAGAGCGTAAGCAGCTGAAATGGGTTACCACCTCGAGGAAAAGACCCCGCGGCGAAGTGCTTTTGTCAGAGGGGGGGCTCCTTGTCGCCGCCGTTCATTTCGCTGTCCTACCCTCCTCGTCCGGCGGTTAGACCTGTCCTCCTTCTAAGGACGAAAGAGACCCTCTCGAAACAGAACAAGAGACACCTCGCCCCCCGTTCACCTCTCCGAACTTCCTCTGGGCTGGACCTTCTGCTTGACCTCAGGGGCCAGAGGGGAAAGGTCTGCTGAGACACTGAGGTCTCTCACGTATTGCGTGTTGACTTAGTAGATCAGTTATTCATGTTTCTGATTTTACAGCTGCAAATGCTCCCTGTCTCTAAAGACATGTCATGGGTGAACGGTTTATGTGTTTTTGGCTCTGAGTGGTAGTGACTGATTATCAGGATTTATGCTCCTGTATGATGTTCTGTTCCAGTCACTCAGCATTGGAAAGAATCATTTACATACTAACCAGAGTATAGGATAGTTTCTGACCAGATGAAGGGGAGAAAGTTGGTTGATGTCTCTGATAACTCCTGGAATTCCATAGAGGAAGATAGGATTTTTTAATTAAAAAATGTGCATTGGTATATGTCTGTGAATTTACTTACAGTAACAGCATCTATAAGCCTTTTAAAAAATCCACTGACGTTCATATATAACTTAAAAGAATCTAATGGAAAACTCCTTTCAGTAAATACTTTATAGAAGAGAACCATCCATATGTCGAAGTTTCCATGTTTCTTAAATAACCAAGCAATTGGCAAGTTTCGCAGCCCGTTATTTTAAGGGTGGGAACAGTTTATAACTTCTGTGCACTTACTGTTTCACATCAAAGAAGGACATTAACAGTGCTACCTTTCCAAAGTTCAGTGAGGTCGAGGGTGCTTTCTCCAGAAATTTGGAAACCGTCCAGAGTAAAGCACACATGGAGGGGAATGCAGGCAGGGTCATCTAGAGCGCCCCCTGCTGTCCTCTCTGTGACAAAGAGGGAAGGAGACACGCCCTGGGGAGCCCCTGCCAGACCCGCTGCCCAAGGAGCCCTCCCGCGTCCTCACGTGCTCCGCCAGGACCCACAGTCCCAAATCTCCACTGCAGCTCATCCACCCCCTTTCTCAGACTTAAGGTCCTCCAGGAACCTTCTCTGTTGGCTCTTGGTAAATGTGGTTAACTTAGGCTCACCCTAAATTAAGCTAAGAGGGATCTTATCCTTCATGCCATTGCTTCCCACTGTAAACATGACCATGTTATTTTTTTATTTTATTTTTTAAAATTACAGGTATTGGGTAACAGTGGCTAAGAATAGTATATACATTTCAGGTGTAAAACTTTATAATACAACCTCTGTATACTCAATTAAATGTGTTATTTCGATGGCAGTTTTGTTTCTTCTTGTATATTTAATCAGAAAACATTACGCGTTACCATGCGCTGGGCGTACACACAGGTTAAGGCGTATACACTGCATGTACCTATTACATATAAGGAAAGATGCACCCACGCTGAGCTCCCCACTCTGCTGCGAACTGGTCACATCACGTAACCTCTCTGGGAAATCTGCAGGCCAGGGGCTGGGACAGGACCTTGGACGCAGAGGTCATCGCAAAGCCGGTCTTGCGTGACGCCCCCTCCGTCCCTGTTGGGAGCAGCGCCGCCCACACCCCCAGCTGACGCTTCCTTCTGCTTGCTTTTCAGAAACGTGAGAATAAAAACTGGAGAATGGTTCTTCGAGGAACGAGCCAAGAAGTTTCCAACTGAAGGTAAACGCTCCCAGAATCTTTACTAAATTAAAAATGATATATTGCTAGTTTTAAAGCATTTGGTTTAAAACTTTTGACTATAAACACCTTTACAGGGCAAGGGAGCCAGGCCTCCGGCTCCCGCTCACCTGGCCCACCGGTTCACAGGTTCCTGCCCGCCACCCCCCACCCCGCCCCTGCTGTTCCTGCCTTTGACCACGGCGTTGCCCCATCTTCCCCCCTCCCCACCGTTCCCCTGATGCCCTGCTTCTGGGAGTGATGTCTCCCGCCCACGAAACACCAGCAGCTCTGGTCAGCGTGTCTCCCAGAGTCGTTGGAAGTGGCATAGGTCATGCCACTCTTTGTGCATTTCTTTCTCTTTCTCTCCGCAAGCAGAACCTGTGCTTAGAGATCCTGTTAGCCCCTAACAGCACCGAGCACAACGCCTTGTTCAGGACACCTGATCAGAATAGTCGCATGAATAAGCCAAGACCACAGCACGTGGGTAGCATTAGAATTGAGCAGACGTCCACGGTTATGAAGTCACAGGACACGATTATGTGAGTGAAAGGGTGCGTTTGGTCCATGGACCAGGAGTGTCTCATAAAACTTTCGCACCGTTGCTGTAATGCTGTGGTCAGTAGCTGGGACTCAAACCCGTGGAGAGAGCTAACTGCTGCGGGTATGGAAGTGTCATGTCAGAGGGTGTGAGTGGTACAGGTAGGAGAGTGACTGATCAGACACAGGCGCGCGCACACATGGTCAAAATAAAGAGGGGCCAGCATGCTCTGTGGACCACACCCGTCTGTCGGGTGACGGGTGGGTGCCCCCGCCCAGCAGCGTGAGCCCGCGGAGGCCTCACTCAGGGGGCCTGTGCTGACCTAGAGGGGAAGGGGCCGCTGGAAGCACTGCCCCTCCAGAAAAAGTATCAGTTTGAGATAGAGAAATAAGGCATTTAGTATCCACCAAATGTGTGCTGTCAAGTAAAGGCAGCGTTGGCTTGAGTGTGGACGCTCAGCTTTTATAAAAGTGCTGTTAAACAGCGGCTCGTATTCAGTTGGCACAAAATTCTCCCCTGGGTCCTACTCCTGCCTCTTCTGACTCAAGACAAAAGCATGCTTCTGCCTAGCGCACTGGAATCTGGAGGAAAACGTGCAACTGAGGGGAGTGCTCGAGGAAAAGAACGCGGCGGCGGCGGAGCCCCTCCAGGCCGGGGTTCCTCGGCCCTTTTCCCCTCGCTGTCCTGTCTCCCGGCCCCGAGCAGCCTGGCTACCACTGGCGGTGTTTTTTCCATACTACCCGTCGGGGAGAGTCTAACGTTCCAGGCGCATTGCAAGTGTGTTTGGGAACCGAGGCCTCTGGGGCGTGCCCGGGACCTTTGTGACAGCCTGTGTGTTCATCCCGCAGGGACTCTTGGGCTCCCGTCCCATCGCGTGCGTGACCAGGGCAGAGCACGGCAGCGGGGTCACCTCTAAGTTTGGGGGCTTTGTTTTGTTGCTTTAAATTGTGTTGGCGGGGGTGGGGCAGGTGTATTCAGCCAGTAGGTGGGCCCTCATTTTTCTCACTTGGTTCCAGTTCATCCGCAATGAAACTGTAGCGAGTGAAATTTCTGTGATTTCTGTTTTTTTAGAATCATATTCACCAGGTGTAATTTTTTATATCACTTAGTAATGGGTGTGTGATCTTCCCACAGTGTGTGGTACGCACCCAACACACGTCCGCTTGTCTCACGGACAGTTCCAGGTCACTAAGCATTTTGCAAATTTTGTCGTTGTTTTTAATCTCCCTTTAGTTCTTTTTTTGTCCTTTTATTTATTTATTTTTAAAAATCTTTTTTTTTCCCCCTGTGATTTCTCAATACCAATGCAGTGAAGATGTCTCCTGGGTGTTTTTAAAAACCACTTTTGGAAGTTTTAGTTTCATTATTTCAGTTCAGTACATTAATATGCAGACCAGAACCTGTACATATGTGTGTATGTGTGCACATGTGTGCCCTGTGTTCTCCTAAGTGTGTGCACTTGTGCTGTGTGCCCACGTGTGTGCACATATATGTGCTGTGTGCACACCAGTGTGTACATGTTTGCCCTGAACGTGCTGTGTACATGTGCTTGTGCATGCCATGTGCACTCCTGTTTGCATGTGATGTGTGCTCATGCATGCATAGGTGCGTGTGCATGCATGTATGTAAATGTGCTATGTGCACTCCTGTGTGTGATATGTGCGCTCATATGTATAGGCGCGCGGTGCATGCATGTGCATTCCCACGTGCTGGCAGGCACTAGCTGGCATCTTGTCCCTTGTCTGCACGCGTCCTCCCTGAGTGTAAGTGGGCGGCTGGGCGGCTTGCCTGAGGGAAGCTGTGGGCAAGGAAAGAGATGGGACTGACCTCCAGGGCCTCTCTTTCTTGTCCTGTGACTTTCCACAAGAATGAAAACATCAGTAAGAAAAAACTAAATTCGAGTCATGAAAGTCAGCTCAAACAGAAATCATCCTTTTTGTTTTCATTGTTTCGTCCAAGGGGTAAAGCAAACAAACAATAAAGAGAAAACCAAATCCTTCTCCCTCGTGATGTTTCCTCCAATGCCGAGATGTCTCGTTTTCTTGTCCGATTTTAGTCGGGTTGGGCTCAGGAGGCGTGAGCGAGGAGGAAACGGCCGCCGAGGAGGGCCAGACGGCGGGCGGCAGGGTGGGGCGGCGGGAGAGGCCGTCGGGTCGGCGACGAGGGCTCCCCTGCCCGGGAGGGGCCCGCCTGGCCCGCGTCCGTGCCCCTCGAAGGGAGCCTGGCTCAGTGGCCGGCGCGTTGAATTGTTTGTGTGTTGTATCAGTTGAGGGCCAGTGAGGAAAAGAGAAACCAGGTGATGATTTAACCAAAGAATTTCATTCAAGGAATTGGTTACGCAGGTACTGCTGGAGGGGCTGGGAAGGCGAAGAGGGAACCCAGAGATGGTGACGGTGGGGAGCCGATGCCACCCAGGGCTGATGCCGACAGGACCAGCAGGCTCAGCCTGTCCTTCGTCCCCCGACTCCCTCCAGCTGTCCCCACTCGTGGGCCCTAAGGGAGAGCAGCTACAGCCTCAGGTCTCTGCCACCTTCAGGAGCGTTTGTGCATCTGCCCAATACCTAGTGTTTTTGTTGTGACGGTGTGAACGCAGCTCTTCTGCGTCTTAAGGAGAAGTGAAGGGAAAATGGCGGTTTAAGCCACGAAGGCTCTCAGACAGCTCAGATCTGTGCCTCCTTCTGTGTGTTCGTTACCTATGGCCGGGCAACACATGCTTCTGAAACTGGCGGCTTAAATGAACGTTGTTGTTTCACAGAGTTGCTGTGTTCAGCTGCCGCCGCCTGGGGCGGCAGGGCCCGCTCTGGCAGGGGTCAGGCGCCCGCCTGGCCAGAGGGCGCTGGGGCGGGTCCCTTGGGCGGCCCCCACGCCTGGGTGCTGCCCTCCACCTTGTGGCCCTAGAGAGACAGAGACAGAGCCTTGCACTACCTTAAAAAACCACTTTTGTCGTGGTAAAATACGCATGACATTAAAGTCCCCATTTTAACCATTTTTAGGCGCGCCACTCCGCGGCAGGAAGTGCGTCCGCATTGCGGTGCGTGTGCCACGGCCATCCGTCCCCAGCCCGTGCTCGTCTTCCCAAACTGAAACTCTGCCCCCGTTAGGCAGTAGCTCCTACCCCGCCCCCATCTCCCCAAAGCCGCGGGTAACCTCTGTCCTACCTCGTGTTTTTTTGTCTCCATCAACATCTTTGATGGCCCGGCTTCAGAAGTCACGCCCGTCATTTCTGCTCCATCCTGTGGTTGCTCTGCAGCGTTCTATGGGCCGGAGGGGACAGGGCAGGTGTGCGTGTCAGGGGGCAAGGGCCACTGACTGTATGTGTGATCAGACTATCAGTTTCTACTTTGCTTTTCAAATTCGGTTTCTACTTTGCTTTTAAAATCCAGTTCCGCATGAGCCTTTGCCGACGCTATCCAGACTTCTCCCAACGCACATGGATGCCAGCGTAAGATGCCTCAGGGGCCGGGTTCAGACTTTCATGTCACAGACCCCTCTGTGACAAACACCTTGGCACCTCTGTCTGTTTCCTTGGGGCAACTTTTAGAAGAAAGGTGACTGGTCAAACGTGTGAACCCTTCATGGCTTTGACACGTTCTGCCAAACTCCCCCTCTGGGGAGTGTGCCCACCGGCCTACCCGGCGGGGTGTTCAGGCTGCGCTCTTATCATACGCTCGCCCCAGGGAGGACTATCCCTTGAGATACGATTTCAAATTACATTTGTGATTTTGTTCTGAGTGTGAAGTAATATGTACTCATTTTAAAAACTGAAACGTGAAGAAAAGCATTCCAAGTAATGTCAACAACAGGGACTTCACCCTGAGGACCACCGTTAATATTTGGGTATATATCACTTCTGTTCTTTGGTGAATGTTTGTGTTTATGCTTGTGACTGAATATGTACATTTTTAGGTAAAAAATGAAGAATAGAGGAAATTTTATATGAGTCTAATACATCTGCATAATTGGGATCAAATTGTATATACAGACTTATATTCCGGTATTTCTTCACATAATAACTTATAAAGAACATTTTCCCTATCTTTTTTTAAAATTATATTTTATTGTTTATGTTATTACAGTTGTCCTGACTTTTGCCCCATTGCCCCCGCTCCCCCCAGCGCCCCCCCCAGGCAGTCCCCCCACCATCGTTCATGTCCACAGGTCACGCATACGTGGTCTTTGGCTGCTCCATTTCCTATGCTGTACTTTACATCCCCACGGCTGTTCTGTAGCTACCACTTTGTACTTCTCAGTCCTTTCGCTTTTTTGGCCCATCCCCTTGACTCTCTTGCCGTCTGGAAGCCATCAAAACACTCTCTGTATCTATGATCCTGTTTCTGTTTTGCTTGTTTGTTTGTTTTTTAGATTCAATTGTTGGTAGATATGCATTTATTGCCATTTTGTTATTCTTATTTTTGATCATATTAGGGTAGTGTGGCCTCATGTAGTAGGTGTCCTGTAGGGT